GACAATAAAACAGATTCAGATATGCATGAACTGGTGAAACTTTTGCAAGTGCATAAACACTCTTTCACTTGTAGAAAAGGTCGAAAAGAATGTCGATTTGATTTTCCGAGACGTCTATGCAAGAAAACACGAATTTGTTTTCATCCAGATGTTATTACTCATCATCGAGGTCGTTTCTATGAGACAGAGCGGGAATGCACAGACTTATGGGTTAATGCATACAATCCAGTTATTTTGCGCCATTGGCGTGCAAACATGGATATTCAACTGGTAGGTAATGTTGAGAGCTGTGCCTTCTATGTATGTAAGTACATATGTAAAGCAGAGCCAGAAGAACTGAAAGAAACATTGAGTGCTTTATTTTCAGACTCAAATTTCCAGTCATTGGAATTAAGGAAACGCCTGATTAAAATTGGCACATGTATACTTAAGAAAAGAAAGCTTAGTTCACAAGAAGCCATGTATAGGCTAGGTGGTTTACACCTCTATGATTCATCAAAAACTGTTATAAGTATCAACACTTTGCCATATACAAAACGTTTCAAAGTTGTCAAACCAATAGCACAGCGTGAACAGTTACAACCTGATTGTTGTGATGAAAAAGCTTTGTTTTTTGTTTGGGGTCCCCCTGGGCTCCTTGCCATTGGTTCTTGTTGCTGGGTCATGTGGGGGTTGCGTTCATTGAACGCCGCCTTTCCTTGTTGATCTTGTTTATCATATTTGAAAGCAGTATTATAGATTTCTACCGTGCTAGACCATATGAGTTAGAAAGTATTAGTCTACATGCGTTTGCATCAGAGTACACGAAAGATTATGGTGTTACAAAACCTTGTTCTACCCTCCCTAGAGTACGCCTATTGCAACCTTATAGTAATATTGTCTTCCGAAAACGCAAGACATCTGTCATCATTAAGCCTAGCAAAGTAATGCAAACTTCAGATGACTATTATTACAGTTGTTTATTACTGTTTTATCCACACAGGTCTGAGTTGGACTTAATTTTTCCATATATAACTTATAGGTATTCTTATATGGCCCATTTCCATGATTTTGACCAGAGTTATAAAAAAGTGAAGTCATTGACCACTGAGTTAGAAGAAGCAATCAGAAGAGTCCATTTACTCAATTTGCAGAACAACATTTTTAATGACATCTTGGATACAGCAGAAACAACTGGTGACAATGAATACAGCATTTTACAGAGACCATGCGATACGGAGGATTGCCACAGTTTACATGCTATGAGTGTAGATTCTCAATCAGACCATTCTGATGATTTCACATGGCACACACTAACAGCATGTACAATAAGTGAAGACACCCTTGAAAGCAGAATCTTGTCTTTTTCTGAAGATCAAAGGGCTTTTTTCTCAGGGCTACGAGACCATTACATGAATGCAAATCAGTCTAACAAGTTGCACTTATTCTGTACTGGCGGAGCAGGCACTGGCAAGTCTTTCCTTCTCCAAACAATTGTAGAATGGCTGCGTTTATGTCATCCTGTTCAATCTGGATCTGATTGTGTCATTGTGTGTGCTCCTACAGGAGTTGCAGCCCGTAATATTAAAGGCTACACTTTGCACAACATCTTCAGACTTCCAGTACAACATGGTTATGAACCAGATTTTCATGATCTTCCAGCTTATATTTTGAAAAAGTTACGACACCTGTTCCTTAATGTTCATACTATAATAATAGATGAGATAAGTATGGTTTCCACCAAGTATTTTCATTACATACATCAACGACTTTGTTCAATTGCTAATACAGATGGTCCTTTTGGAAACTATAACATCATTCTTTTTGGAGACTTTTATCAGTTACGACCTGTGCGTGGAAGGTACATCTTTACTGATACAATTTTATGGCCCCTTTTTACGCCATTCATATTAACTACTAATAAACGACAACAGGGTGATGATCTGTTGGTAAACTTGCTGAATAGACTACGCATTGGTGAAGTGACTGCACAAAATGTCACCTTACTCCAATCAAGAATGATTCCACATCAAACTAATACTATCAGACACTTGCTACATATATTCCCTACTAACAAGCAAGTTATAGAGCACAACAAATATTTACAAAGTCTGCTGAACAGTAGAGTTCACACATTTATGTCTGACCATGTATTTTCGAACTATGATGTCCACCCAGGGCTTGATGTCCCTCCAGAGTTAATTCCAAATGATGATCGACATGCAGGTGGCCTTCCTCAAGAATTACAAGTGTCTGTGGGCACAAGAGTAATGTTATTGCGCAATCTAGTCACAAATGAAGGTTTAGTTAATGGTGCTATGGGTCTTGTCACTCACATTGAACTACAGGATAATGGTGTTGAATTTCAAATATTTGTTCGCTTCGATGACATAAATATTGGTCGCATGTTTCAATCACCTTCACATGACAGAAGCATTCCAATCACAAGGTATACACAAGAATACCTGTACTTGGGTAGATACATCAATCGTATACAATTCCCACTCACTCCATGTTGGGCTTGCACTGTACATAAACTTCAAGGTATATCTGTAGACTCTGCTGTAATATCGCTTGGTCCAAAGATTTTCCAAGCAGGACAGGCATATGTTGCTCTCAGTCGAGTGCGTAAGTTAGAAGGAATATTCATAATTGATTTGTGTGTTCAAAAAATGTATGCTGACCCCTTGGTTGTCAAAGAGTATGGAAGGCTTCTACAACTATTCAGTACCACTTCTCATGCAAGCAGCAAACCTATTGTTTTGACACATATACTACTGTTGCAGTGCATGTTATTTATGTTTTTAAACATGCTAAATATCGTGAATTCTTAGTATTTATAACAGTAGTTTCAATATAAAGCAAGTGGTTGTTACGCATCAGTCATTTGCAACCATGCCTATCTGACTCTTTAAAAAATAAAGTGCAACTTCAACTTCTTGATTTTCAAAGCACAACTACATGTCAGCTTTCATGTCTTAAATAATGTATTTGCAGTACATATTTTTGTAAAAGTTCCTGATGTACTTTAAATACATGCCAATTTTAGTGCATAAACTGTTCAATCACTGTCATCTGCTAATCAGTGAACACTTAATTTATATGTCAGATTCCTTATTTTTTCCCAAAAATTGCTGTTCTGTATGAAGTTATCACTTCATTTTCAATTGATAATTCATTTTAAACAGTTAAACTGTCACATGTTGACTGCAGGGTATACTTGTGTATATTTATATATATCTGCAAAGGAAAGCATACTATTTTTTCCATGTACAACTTCCATTTTTGTATAAAAAGTAATACAATATACAATAGGTATTATGGTGTATCTGTGACACACTTTAGCTCCATAAAAGTCATTTTCATAATAAGAAATACAAAATATATTACTTCACTAAAAATATCCAAGAATATGACAACTTATTTCCAGATACAGTACCGTTCAGTAAGGGATATAGCAAAGAAAAAAAATGTCAGTCTCGATGTTGTGACAGTATTTGCAGTTTCCTGCATTTGGACCACAATTTGTGGATTATCCTTGATAAACCATATAAATATTTAATTTGATCCAGTTTAAACAGAAAATAGAATTTCTTGGGCATGAATACTTTGCTATTTACGGAGTGGAAGACAACGACTTTTCGTGTCAATTTGTTAGAAAATAAAAACCCTGCTGTCCGTCAGTCAAACCAAAAAACTTTAACATTTGCCATAATTTTGATATTGCTAAATGGATCAGCTTCACATTCGGACACAACACTCCTGCAGATGAAACATTTACATATATATATATATATGAGTTTGGGGACATTGTCATTTTACAGTGACAGCACTTGTTTCCTGTACTTTATACACATATAGTTTCTCATTTATATTCAGAGGTGCAAAACAATAATTTAACAATTCTTTTATGTTAAGTCGAATATTTTCAGATGCCAAAAATGCAAATTCTACTTATGGTTTTACAGTCTGCTTAAGAAATTATGTATCCCAAGCTTGTATTCTCTGCTTAAAAAATTATGTATCCCAAACTTGTATTTTTATTGCTCATTAACATCACTGTTTTGAGTTTGAATGCGGGGAATTATATCACGAGGACGTATCCAAAGTGATATAATGATGTGCATCCAAATGTCAAACAGTGATGTTATCAAGCAATAAAAACACCAATTTGAATATTATTTCGATTTTAACATGACATCAACAAGTAAATGCCGCCATACATGATAATTAGCTAAATTGCGCCTGATTTGTTTCCGTATTAATAGTCAGCATGTCACATTTTTAGTGGTTACATCATGTGTTTAATTATTACATCACATGTCTAAATATAGAACGTCAAACAGAGATTTCATAGCATAATAACACACACTTTCAGTTCTTATATGTCCAGTAGGGAAAAATGCGGGTTGTGTTAGAATTTATTATAATCCATTATTGAAAACCTTATTTTCAAATGTGGTAAACAATAATTCATTTATTTACTGATATAAATAATATTCTTATTTTCAGACTTCTAAATAACCAGCTGCACAGTAATTTGCATGTTTTCATTGACATGGCAAAGTTATGATACATGTCACTGAGATGTAATAAACCTTCAATATTTGCACAAAAGTACCTTTTCCCCACTAAATCCACGTTGGTAAATCAATATCCAAAAAAACAAAGAAATTGTTTTATATTAAACTTGAGAATAATATTTGTTGACTTTTTCAACAGTACAAATGAAGTAACCTTCAAATCTATAAGTGTTTCAACAAGTTAGTGCTAAACATATTTTACTAGAGTACTATGCAGCTGGATATCTTCTGTTCCACTTCTACAAATTCATTTTCAGATTTCTGTACAATCCAAATTCATTGATACAATTCGTATTTTCAGATTTCTGTACAATCCAAATTCATTGATACAATTCGTATTCTTAGACTTATAGGTATTTCATTTATGAAAATAAAAGATATATTCATAAAAATAAATACTAATTTAATCATAAAATTGTGTCATCACATTGTGTATAAATACAATTTATTACTGTTACTTCTACAACTATTCTATGTTTCCATCTATTCATAGGGTACATTACCCATCAGCCAGTTGGAAGCAATACCATCTGGATCGAACCTAAAATCAGCCCAGTTATATGGAAAGATCATCGCATGTGAGAAAGAAGAGGGCAATCAGAAGAAATTTACTGCTATACTGGCAGATGCTTCTGGTTTCATCAAGTGTTCTATCAGCAACAAGTACTTCCGAACAGTGAATCTGGCAAAATCAAATGACACTACAATACAGTAAGTAATAACCTCTTGTCACAAATAATATTGTCAAGTTCAATGTCATGTACCACTTACCTCCTTCCTTAGAGGTGAAATAAATGCAATTTTACAGACTTACACTTTCTGAAATTTGGTCCGGTCTTACCATGCATTTCTTTAAGAATCCTGCAAAAAATATGACTCCCCAAAAAAAAGAAAACTTGTATAATAGTCAACATTCTTTGGAAATCCAAAACATTTTTGACTATCTTTGCATAATTCTGTTTCAAAGTTTGATACAGTCGTTAAAAATGTTGCATATATACATTGCAGTGTCAAAGACTTCCTGCTGGCAAAAAACATAGTATATATCTCAGACTTCACCACAGTCATGAGGTGCCATGTCGTAGTGAATGTGACACCAGAAGTGCGACAACGCGGAACAGTGCTCTTGGACAAACCAGACAGTGTTGAAGCTATTAAAGCGTCCCCTTTAAAGACACGTGTTTCATTGAAAGGCAAAATCGTCAAAGTAAGAGATTACAGTATTTATCTATACAATAAATTTGCACAGCAAACTCCTGCCTTCCATATCAGTGGTATGCACCAATATCACTTGAAGAATCTTCCTACTAATACTTACTTCTTACTTACAAATCTTAGTTTAACTGCTTCTCGCACAAAACACATCAAAATCTTAACTGTCTTCTCTTCATTTGACTGTGCTCAGAATTTTTAAATTCCGCACTGGCCCAAACAATGCCATGTAGTAATGACTTATTGTCAAGCATGCAGTTTCTTTCACAGTACCTACAGTTCTGTATTAATAAAATTAATATATGTCTAAAACTATTGTCAAATTATTATATCTTCCCTTTGTTTTAAAGATATAAGTGCACTAAACCTGGGTTCTATTGTCGTAGGATTGCCTATATTATGCACACTTTTTACAAATTATATTATATACATGTGAATACCATGTAGTACTTACTGACTGTTACATGCAAGAGATTTCAAGAACTCCTATGTATTCAAAGAATGATGTTTGCTCCTTTTATTAGCAAATGTCATTGCAAAAGTATAAATATGTTGTTAATTGAAAAACATAGTGAAAAACGTTGTTAAAACGCTTAGCCACAAATATATAACCCTCTGATCAATAGTTCTTTGACATTGTTTCACAATTTTGTCAAATAACAAACACTGTCGATTGTTAATATTTTGCTAAAAAGCTAAACTTTTCTCTCTTTAATAGATCAGACCTCTTCAAAAAATAGGAATTAGCAAAACAGGTGAGGAGAAAGAGTTACTAAACGTTAGACTGAAAGACAACACGGGTGTTATTCCAATATCCTTGTGGGGGAAGCACGCCACCACCCACCAAGCATTAAAGGTGGGTGACTGCATTAGCGTTGAAAAAGGAGAGAAGGCTGTCTTTCAGAACAAACCAACAGTGAATACATGGGAAGACAGCACAACAATAACAGTATGTACGGTGATAGATGCTTAAGTATTTCCATCTTTTAGATGCTTAAGTATTTTCATCTTTTATGTATACTGAATACAACATAATTCTGCAATTAATGAAATATTTTCATGGTAAGATATATTGATCATAATATTTCTTCTTTTTTCATATTCTTGTTACATTAATATCAAACTTTTAGATGTACTTAAACAGTTTAATGAATACATCACTTGCTTGCATGTTGGCAAAATCAATACCTTGCTTATACATATATTAAATGAAACATTTCAGCTCCTTACAGAAGACATGACAGAAATAACGGACAGTGATGATGAGACGGCCCATCAAAGTGCCTCACCTCCCCCTGGCACCACAACAGGAGAGTGGGTGTCGCTAGGTAACATCACAAAATATGAAGCATGCAAAGAGAAACGTTGTTACTTGAAAAAATTAACTATAGACAATGTGTGCCCGACATGTGGAAAGACTTATTCTGTCAAATGTCCCTCCACTATGGCCTTGATTGCCACAGTAGGTTTACAACTTACATATTCATCTGAAGTCAAGACAGCTATAATATTTACGAATGCATTGAAGGTGGCATACACACAACTATGTCCTGGAGCCAGCCTGCCTGACAGTCTTAAAGCTATAGAAGATTCATTCTTCGCTGCTTTACCAAAAATGTGCCAAATGGTAATAAACGCTAACAATGTTGTGACTGATATTACACTTTTATAAATAATTACTGCTGTTGGGTAAAAAATGTTTGTTGTTTGCTGTATTTTTGTACCCCTACTACAGGGGGTGGGAAGTCATTTAGATTTACCCTTGTCCGTCCATTCGTCCGTCCTTTCATACATATTACTGTTCATTAATATATAGTTCAACAAGTACATTTTTGTAAGTAAATATATCAGGTTAAACAAACCCCTGACTCGAACTGAATTATGACAGAATCATGCTTCTCAATTTTGACAAAATAATGCTTTTTTAACTTAGAATTTCTAGTTATAGTAAAAAAACTTTCTTACTATTGAATTGTTTTTTACTTGATAATTAAAATAGTTATCCACTGTCTCAAATTACACCTGGAGAAACAATCCCTGTAACTCTGATTTGACTTCTACTACAAATATACCCTTTTTAAACTCCAAATATATGTGTTACAGTCAAATATCTCTCTTACCATCAAATCATTTGCATTACTATCAATTATACCTTTCTTTACATTGCCAATTGTGTCATACATGACATCAAATTGATACCATTTATTAACATCATAGTGTACAACAATAATGGAAATGTATATTATGTGAATTTTATGCTTTCTGATATGAAACATTTCTTTTCCTATGTACATACATTCAACCTTAATTAAACTGTCTAACACATGTACAAAAAATTGCTATATTCATAGCAAATATTACTTGTTCATGTTATGCATACAGGGCAATTGTTCTTTTCCTATGTACATACATCAACCTTTGTTAATCTGTCCAACACATGTACAAAAAAAACTGCTATATTCATAGCAAATATTTCTTGTTCATGTTATGCATACAAAGCAATTGTTGCCATCTAGTCTATGTATTTGTATTTTTGTTTATTATTACTTTTTTCATACATATTAGTTTCCATAAATGTATATTTCAACAAGTAGATTTTTGTTAGTAACTTCTTTTGTTTCAATTGTTACTTTCTTATATTGATACTATATTAGTTGTATAGTCCATATTGTAGCAGTTGTCACTTCAACAATTTTCACTTAATAAAACTTTATGTGCAAAGACAAATTACAACAATTTTCACATAATAAAACTTTATGCCCAATGACAAATTACATCGAGAAGCTGTATCAATGGCTCAAAAGACGCACTTGCTATATCAATACTATTGTAATGAACACATTTTGCTTATTTAAAAAAAAAAACAAAAAAACACCAATCAAAATGTTGTTCTCACATGTTCATCTGCATCTACATGTGCTTGGCTTAAGTTTTATGGCAAAAGCTCCTTTAAGTCTATCAAATAATTCACTTTCAATTTCAAGCAGTTGTAAATCATCAAATGGGTAATACATATCAACAAGGCAATAGATCCTTAAATATTTTTGACCATGTTATGCCTCTTTTTACCTTACAATGTTTTAGTCAGTCAAATATCTCAATTTTGATCAATCTGTTGAACACATGTACAAAATTGCTTTATTCATAGAAAGTCTTTTTTTGTGACCTATACAGGGCTATTGTGGCCATCTAGTCCATATATTTGTATTTTTATCAATAATTACTTTTTACATACATATAACTGTTCATAAATGTATAGTTCAACAAGTAGATTTTTTGATAGTAACTTTTTTTGTTTCTATTGTTACTTTTATTTCCTTTATATATACTTTTATATTAGTTATATATTGCATACAGTTTCCATAAGGTTACTTTTATCTTCTTTTGATACTTTTATATTAGTTGTAGTCCATATTGCATACAGTTTCCATAATGTTACTTTAATTATGCCCCCGTCTATGTATTTGTATTTTTGTTTATTATTACTTTTTTCATACATATTAGTTTCCAAAAATGTATATTTCAACAAGTAGATTTTTGTTAGTAACTTCTTTTGTTTCAATTGTTACTTTCTTATATTGATACTATATTAGTTGTATAGTCCATATTGTAGCAGTTGTCACTTCAACAATTTTCACTTAATAAAACTTTATGTGCAAAGACAAATTACAACAATTTTCACGTAATAAAACTTTATGATGTCCGTGAAGTACACGGGCTAACGGGCTAGCAGTCTAGCGGGTTAACAGTATGAACTGAGCGGGCTAGCAGTCTAGCGGGCTAACAGTGTGAACTGGGCGGGAAAGCAGTCTAGCGGGCTAACAGTGTGAACTGGGCGGGCTAGCAGTATAGCGGGCTAACAGTGTGAACTGGGTGGGCTGGCGGCCAGCGGGCTGAAATCTAAAACTTTATTTATTGAACATAAAAATGTTATGATACATTACCTGGCAGTGTAAAGTGGGCGGGCTAACAGTGTAGCGGGATAGCAGTGTGAAATGGGCGGGCTGGCGGGGCAGCGGGCTAAAATCTAAAACTTTATTGATTCAACATGAAAACGTTATGATACATTACCTGGCAGTGTGAAGTGGGCGGGCTCACAGTGTAGCGGGCTAGCAGTGTGAACTTGACGGGCTGGCGGGCCAGCGGGCTAAAATCTAAAACTTTATTGATTGAACATTAAAACCTCATGATACATTTCCTAGCAGTGTGAATTGGACGGGCTGACAGTGTAGCGGGCTAGCAGTGTGAACTGGGCGGGCTGGCGGGCCATTGGGCTAAAATCTAAAACTTTATTGATTGAACATAAAAATGTTATGATACATTACCTGGCAGTGTGAAGTGGGCGGGCTAACAGTGTAGCGGGCTAGCAGTGTGAACTGGGCGGGCTGGCGGGCCAGCGGGCTAAAATCTAAAACTTTATTGATTGAACATAAAAATGTTATGATATATTACCTGGCAGTGTGAAGTGGGCGGCTAACAGTGTAGCGGGCTAGCAGTGTGAACTGGGCGGGCTGGCGGGCCAGCGGGGCTAAAATCTAAAACTTTATTGATTGAACATTAAAACCTCATGATACATTTCCTAGCAGTGTGAATTGGACGGGCTGACAGTGTAGCGGGCTAGCAGTGTGAACTGGGCGGGCTGGCGGGCCAACGGGCTAAAATCTAAAACTTTATTGATTGATCATAAAAACGTTATAATACATTACCTGGCAGTGTGAAGTGAGCGGGCTAACAGTGTAGCGGGCTAGCAGTGTGAACTGGGCGGGCTGGCGGGCCAGCGGGGCTAAAATCTAAAACTTTATTTATTCAACATTAAAACCTGATGATACATTTCCTAGCAGTGTGAATTGGACGGGCTGACAGTGTAGCGGGCTAGCAGTGTGAACTTGGCGGGCTGGCGGGCCAGCGGGCTAAAATCTAAAACTTTATTGATTGAACATTAAAAACCTCATGATACATTTCCTAGCAGTGTGAATTGGACGGGCTGACAGTGTAGCGGGCTAGCAGTGTAAACTGGGCGGGCTGGCGGGCCAACGGGCCAACGGGCTAAAATCTAAAACTTTATTGATTGATCATAAAAACGTTATGATACATTACCTGGCAGTGTGAAGTGAGCGGGCTAACAGTGTAGCGGGCTAGCAGTGTGAACTGGGCGGGCTGGCGGGCCAGCGGGCTAAAAATCTAAAACTTTATTTATTCAACATTAAAACCTGATGATACATTACCTGGCAGTGTGAAGTGGGCGGGCTAGCAGTGTAGCGGGCTAGCAGTGTGAACTTGGCGGGCTGGCGGGCCAGCGGGATAAAATCTAAAACTTTATTGATTGAACATTAAAACCTCATGATACATTTCCTAGCAGTGTGAATTGGACGGGCTGACAGTGTAGCGGGCTAGCAGTGTGAACTGGGCGGGCTGGCGGGCCAGCGGGCTAAAATCTAAAACTTTATTGATTGAACATGAAAAACGTTATGATACATTACCTGGCAGTGTGAAGTGGGCGGGCTAGCAGTGTAGCGGGCTAGCAGTGTGAACTTGGCGGGCTGGCGGGCAGCGGGCTAAAATCTAAAACTTTATTGATTGAACATTAAAACCTCATGATACATTTCCTAGCAGTGTGAATTGGACGGGCTGACAGTGTAGCGGGCTAGCAGTGTGAACTGGGCGGGCTGGCGGGCTGGCGGGCCAACGGGCTAAAATCTAAAACTTTATTGATTGATCATAAAAACGTTATGATACATTACCTGGCAGTGTGAAGTGAGCGGGCTAACAGTGTAGCGGGCTAGCAGTGTGAACTGGGCGGGCTGGCGGGCCAGCGGGATAAAATCTAAAACTTTATTGATTCAACATTGAAACCTCATGATACATTTCCTAGCAGTGTGAATTGGACGGGCTGACAGTGTAGCGGGCTAGCAGTGTGAACTTGACGGGCTAACAGTGTAGCGGGCTAGCAGTGCGAACTGCGCGGGCTGGCGGGCCAGCGGGCTAAAATCTAAAACTTTTATTGATTCAACATTAAAACCTCATGATACATTTCCTAGCAGTGTGAATTGGACGGGCTGACAGTGTAGCGGGCTAGCAGTGTGAACTGGGCGGGCTGGCGGGCCAACGGGGCCAACGGGCTAAAATCTAAAACTTTATTGATTCAACATTAAAACCTCATGATACATTACCTGGCAGTGTGAAGTGGGCGGGCTAACAGTGTGGCGGGCTAGCAGTGTGAACTGGGCGGGCTGGCGGGCCAGCGGGCTAAACTTTAAAACTTAATTGAATCAACATAAAAACCTTACTATACATTTCCTAGCTGTATAAGCTCGGTGAGCTAACAGGGTAATGTGCTAGCAGTCTAGTGGTCTAAATTCCATACTTAATTATTTTAACACTAAAGCGTTATGATGCATTTGTTAGCAGTGTAAACTCGGCGGGCTAACAATGATTGTTTCATATAGTACACACGATCCTTGAGAGTACACTAAATGGTTTAAATCCGTATTGATATTCAAGTGATGCATGGTATACAGAAAAAACGATCTTAACTGAAACAGAAAAAAACACTGCAACATAAGATTTTAGTAGTAGGGCAGTCAAATGTAGAACCTCATGTAGTGAAGCAGAAGATGCACCAGAGGTACATACATAGGTGTATACTTCGTGCAATGACAGAAGCTTGTCCATAAACATAAGGACATCTAGGAATCTTGCAATTTATTTAGGAGCGGATCTGTGGTCTGGTGGTTAAATACATACATTTGTATATATAATCAAGGGGTTTGAGTTCGACCCCCGCTCCTCCCTAACATTACCGACAGTCTTTCGGATGGGACTTTAAAGCGAGGTCCCGTGTATCGGTGCATTACACCTGACACATAAAAGATCCAGGTATGCTTCTGAAATGGGCCATCTTCTGTACTTCCTGCACTATATTACGAATGTCAAATTGTGAAAAAACACAAAGCGACGGCATTCTTATACCGACAGATGTACCATCAGAGTTTCCTCAATATGTCTTATTGCAGCTCTGAGTTCGAGGCTACCATAGTGATTACATGTATTTTCATGTAAGGACGTTAACCAACTAGCTTGCGGAATGTGGGTGGTTATACCAAGAACTGGTGTCCGCCTGAGCCTGAAAGTTGTCCGAAATGGCACCTGGGGTATGAATCGTACAAAATGGAGGAGAGGTTAACAATCCGTCCAGATGATCAAAAATGATGTTTGCATTTTTGGAATGAGTTGCATTTCGTAAAAAAATCCCACAATTTTAGGATCTTATCCTCAACCATTAGGCCTACTGATTTACGGCAGATTTTATCCTAGTGATATAGATTCAGAAATTGCGGAAAATGCCGCAAAACTGGGAATCAATGACAGCAGTATGTTGATTGAGATGTTTCATTATCGGTATATTTGTCACATTTTTATTTCATAATTATGTTAGGATAAACCAACAACTATCATTTCACTACTGTCCATGAACAAAACTAAAACAAAATTTTGATATGTGGTGTTGCCATGACAACGAGAAGTTATCTAGAGTTCTCTCTATTTCTTTGTCCGTTCAAAGCAGAAAATTGGATTATGTTATTACTTTTAAACAGATTGAATATATATCACCAGTCTATGTCTATTCGGTTTATATAGTACATTTGTTAATTTACAATATCAGGAGGTGAGCTGTGGTGGGTAGGGAAACCAAAGGGTGTATCCATTATGCTCTTATTCGATGCTCTCAAACGAGCATAAATTATTTATTATCCTCCAACATACACCTACATTCAAGCATGCAGCTTTAAAGAAAAACATAACATAAAACAAGGTTAGAGGGCATGCCGTTAAGCCGTCCCGTTTATTTGACAAAAGATTTACAGGAAACAAAAGAAACAACTCCATTGATCAATACTTGAAGGAAAACTGCAAGTGTACTTCTAAAATTTTCGTGCTCTGCTCTCCGATCCAACCAACCAAACCTAATGAACTTCGATTTCTAAGAAATACTATTTTTAATCAATCGCAGGAAGAAATACTATTTTTAATCAATCGCAGGTAGAATTAATCAAATATAAAATAATTGGAAAAAGCCAAAGTCAGAAATGCTGCGAGCGGGCTACCCAACCCTACTCCGTCTTGGGAGGGGGAGGTAGGAAGCTCCAAAGCTCTAGATCAGCGGCTGCTTCAATCACCTACCTGACATATCCCCAATTTTGAGTCTAATAAAAAACCATTAATTATATGAAATGCATTACTTTCAGATTAAATCAAAACATAGCATTGATATCTTCCCTTTCCTTCATTTTTTTTTTTTTTTTTTTTTTTTTTTTTACATCCATGTTAAAAACAAAGACGGAGAATCTGAAATAGATAAAACAAGATATCAAAAATCTGTTTAAGGCAATGTTAAATACATAAATTTATCCATGATATTTCGTAATATATGAAAATTATATTTAAAGAAATTTTACAAATGGTCGGCGTGAACGTAATGCCTCGAATGACTATATTTTATCAACTTACACGTAAAATCGTGCATAATTACCGCCAAAAATATAACCATTAAAAACACGAGGAATTACCATATATGGAAAGACACGGTGTATGCACCGTAAATAAATACATCACTCGACGTGTTTTGCCAGTGACCGTTAGGCACCGGAGACCGTGGGCGATACTAAACTGCTGACGAATTAGCTGA